TCCAAGTGTCATCTATGCACTTCCAAAAATATATTTTTTCTTCGACGGAGATACCAATATTTTTGAGCCTTCAGAGAATTCAAATGAATATGAGAATGTTATTCTTTGTGAGTGCCTTAATTTGAAAGTAAATTGCTTTAAAAATCTCATACAAAAGAAATGATCGTCTACCCGTGCAATGTTCTTGGTTGACGTAATTAATGTGATTCCACTAACAAAGGAGTATAGGCATGTTTGAGTTTTCAAGAACTGAAAAGTGAAAACTTGCTCAATATAGACACATGAAAAATATAGAGTATTCTTGTTTAATTTATTCTTTTCTCAACCTCTTCGTTTACAATGGGGAAATCAATGGAAGTATAAGGAGAAGATAATACATCGAAAGATAAAACCTTAAAGAACGTCCGAGTCTCTAAAGTCATAACCATAAAGGGAAAGTCTTTTCCTATTCTTTTGGCACAACTCCAAGACGAGGTGGCAAAAAAAAAGACCTTTGTAAACAAATTAAAATGTACTCCTATCCCAGAAAATTACTCACGGGTGGCGCGAGTTTTGTTGAAATAACTCTCAGGTCCCTCTATTTTCAAGAAGACAGCAGAAATTCTTACATTTTGATGTAATGACTGGAAGGGGACATTTCATCCAATATTTCATCTATAAACGTTAATAAATGTATTTTTTTTCCTATTCTTTTCTAAATGTTTTAAGGTAATAAATCTTAGGTCGCTCCTTTTTTTTATTTCTTTGTTTTTCTTTCATTTTGTTACTACTTTTTAAAGTGTTATTTTAGAATTTCTTCTATAAAATCGTATAAAAATTCAAAATTGTTTGTATTATATTAAAACAAATGAAATAAAAAAAATTTAAAAAAAGAAAAAACAAGGTAATGACAAAATAGGAAAAAATGGTATTGGAAAAATAGGAAAAAAATACATTTATTAACACTTACGGATGATGTATTGGATGAAATATCCCCTCCCAGTTCCAGTCATTACAAAAAAGTATAAGAACCTCGGTTGTCTTTTTGAAAATAGAGGGACCTGAAAGTTATTTCAACAAAACTCGCGTCACCCGCGAGTAATTTTCTGCTCCTATCCATCCGTTTTCAAATGAATTACAACATTATTATTATGGTTTTTCGATAAAAAATTTGTTTGCTTGCTAAAATATTCTCCTTTTGTTTTGTAAAACTTTTAATTTATTTTTTATACATAAGTTTTAGTATTTGTTATCTTCATACAAAATGTAAACAAAATGAATTTCTTAAAAAATAAGATTTTTCATATTGGCCGAAAAGTATAATTCATTTAGGAACGGACGGAGTGAATTCCTTTACGCAAATTCTTACGTGGTTCTAAAATTCATGCTTATTTTATGGATTTTAATACATCGATATCATAAAACAATTAGACATTTTTACAAAAACAATATCCACTTGTTGATCTATGAAAAGTGTGAGAAGATTTATAAAAAATACTCACTTAAGGAGCCATGAAAAGTGTATGAAGATACATATTTCATATGTGGACTTTGTTACCAAGAAGAACAATTCTTCTTTTAAGGAAGCAAATAACATCAACTATGTTTGTGAAAAAAGAGCATATAAGTAAAAGGAAAAAAGACATAAAACATAAAAAAGATACTAAAATAAGAAATCTATGTTTTTATTCCCGAAATAGAAGTTAAAATATATTTACATTACCAATCATGATAATGTATATTGTAAAATTCACCTGTGCAGTGTCATCTTAGTATAGTAATACAGTACAAACTTCTATTTAAAAAATAAAGATATAGAACTTGTAGAAATTAATAAGAGGAAAAATATTTTGTATATTGAATTAGCTTGTGCTTACAAAGATCTAACCCTCTTTATATAGGAAGAGAGTAAAGCATATAAGTACACTTCTATTCCTACCATATTTCTATTACTACTAAAACAAGAAATAAACAAACTAGGAAAGATACTAAATCAATCCCAAAGGGATTCAGTTTCCTTGTTTGATCCGGCTTCCTTCTTCTGTCGCCAACACCCCCCCTCAAGCTGGAGCATAGGAGTTCAACATTCCCAGCTTGGACATCAAAAGATTGAACAAAGCAACAAAGCTTGAGGAAGCCGCTGCCATCGTTGTCCAAGTGTCATCTAGACACTTCAGTTTTTTTCTTCAACAGAGACGCCAAGCTTTTCGAATCCACCGAATAATCAGTCGAGTAAAGGAACGCCATTCTTTTCGAACCTTCACCGTATTCGAACAAACAGGGGGAACGCCATTCTTTTCGAACACCCTGAACGCCGACTTTTTTTATTGCCTGCTAAGGAAAGAGTTGTCTGTTTCTGTAGAACAACCCTTCTCGGACAACTTCTTCAAGATTGATGGTTGGGCGGGATTCCTCGACAGCAATGTTTTTCGTTGAAGGAGTTCATGATATTCTTTATTGAGGGAGAACAATCAAAGAAAATAAAAAACTACAATATCCCGCTGGTAGGCATTGAATTGTGTATGCCCACCGGCAGGAGAAGAAGCCTGTTTGAGGTCTCAAGAATTCAAAACTTGCTCCGGTACCATGTAGAAATTAATAAGGGAGAAAATATTCTGTATATTGAATTGCCTTTTTGGATACAAAGATCTAACCCTCTTTATATAGGAAGAGAGTAAAGCATATAAGTACACTTCTATTCCTACCATATTTCTATTACTACTAAAACAAGAAATAAACAAACTAGGAAAGATACTAAATCGAATCCCAAAGGGATTCAGTTTCCTTGTTTGATCCGGCTTCCTCTTCTGTCACCAACAGAACTCATATTTTAGTATTTTCTTTATATTTTACTTTTATTTAAGATAATTTCACAAATTTAACATAAAATTCTTTATTTGGTCCATGAGTCCATCCATTGATCCCCGGTCCACGCGCCATTGACTTGACCGTTTCGCATTTGGAGTTCTATCCAATTAAAACAGAGAAGTTTTGCACAAAGAATTGGTCTTTGCCTCTTGGTAGGACACAATCTATGTTAGTATGTAATACTCCCTCCTCCTATCCTAAAAAAAACTTTTTTGTTTTAACTTTTTTATCAAATGCTAACATATTTTAATTATAAATTGTGAGAAAAGTATACTTAATTATAATATAAATTGAATATACCCCGTAATTGTTTTCATTTTAAGATATAGTTTTGATATATCACATTCTTTTATCATTTATTTAGATTATGCCCAATTTTTGGCCAAAGAATGTCACTATTTGACTAAAAAAATCAAAACAAGAAAGGTTTTTAAGACTTTAATACACTCTTCGTCCTAAAACTTTCTCCCCAATTCGGTTTTTGAAGTTTGACTGAAATTATTTTCAATTCAATTTATTTGATTATAGGTATAAAATTTAAAAATAAAAATTACATATTTGAAAATTTTATCAAAAATTTTACAAAATAAGAGGTGACATGACTATATTTAATTATCAAATAACTAACAAAAATAGGTAAAGAAATTAATTAAAATTTGACCATGTAAATAATATTTGGAAAAAGTTTTAAAACGGAGGGAGTATTTTTAAAAATGACAGTTCTTACCCTTCAAAACTCTCCTCCTAAACTCCCCACTTCCTGCCCTCCTCTCCGCCCTACCCATGCCCTCCCTCTTCCTACCCTGGCAATATATTGCCTATACTGTCAGGGTAGGGAGGGGAGGCAGAGGTGGAGGGTTTTAGGGTAGAGTGAGTAAATAGAAACCGTCATTTTTACAAACAAGACATTGTAAGTGTCCTAAAAATATTAGTGTAAGTAATTAGTGTATAAGTAATTGTCTAACTGATACTCTCTCTGTCCCATTTTAAATTGCTTGTTTGCCTTTTTGTCTGTCCCAAAATAAGTTGCATGTTAGTTATTTTCGTAAACTTTTAAAAATAAAATACCTAAACTACCCCTAAAATAAGTCACTCTTCTTCACCTTATTTTCTCATTCATCATCACCCCTCCTAAAAAGTAGTGTCAATTTCGAAAGATCAACTCTATTTTTTATTTTCCTTAAATATGCCCAAAAGTCAAAACAGGTGATTTAAATTAGGACGGAGAGAGTATGATTTTAGACACTTCCATATTTAATACTTCCTCCATCATTCTAAGATGCTCTCATTTTGATCTTTTATGGTTTTTAAAGAGAGGTGAAAAAAGTAAAAGTTTACCAAAATACTCTGAATGAAAATGAAGTATATTAAATAAAGTGAGTAAAATGTAATAAATAAAATAAAGATAGTTATAACATTTTAAATATTAAAAAGACTAATGAGAAAATCTTGTAAGACGAACAAAAAGGTTAATGTGAAGAGTAATATCTTTCAATTAATGTAGACCCCATTGCTACACACATTCAAATGTCAATGTATATAATGAGATGCAAAGTTTGTATTTGCTGCAAGTATCATTTTGATGCTCAAAAAGAAAACATTTTAGGAGTGTAAGAATAGAGGCAGAACAAGATTAATTAATAGTACGGAGTAATAAACAAGATTTTAATATAAATATGCTAAAAGTCTAAAAACCATTAAAAGTTGAAGAATTCAACAGACTCATATTTGATCATGAACCATGAGAGTGTTTGATTGTGATTAATTTGTAAGTAAAGTGAATTTCACAAAAATTAAAAACAAAAACACCTCATAACTGCTTCTCTAAAATGCTATCCTATGTACTCCCTCTATCCCCTGTATTTGTCCACATTTAACTTTTGAAACTGTTCATTTAAGCACTTTGACTCATCAAATTCTCTCAATGTGTAAGCCTAAATATAGTCATGTGTGATCTTGTTTGATTTGTCTTAACATATAGATTATTAATATATAATTTTTATAATTTTTTAATATACAAATTACAAGATAAAATAAATTAAAAAATTGCATTAGATGGTGTGCAAAAATGAAAGTGAACAAATACAGGAGAACGAAGGTAGTAGAAATAGTAGCGGAGAAAAACAAAAGCTAACATGCCAAATAGCGTAAAACCACTATCTCAAGCATAAGCTAAATTCTTAAAAATAGAATTCTGCCAAACACCCTCTATATACATTATCCAAACTGGAGTGGACTTCCTCAACAAACAGTAAGCATACAAACCAAGATAAAACCCACATGTATATTGGTTTTTTTTCCTATATATTTTTTGCTTTTTTTTCTTCCTAGCTAGATGCAAATGGTGAACTCAAACCATGGTTTAATATCTCTAACCTACACTCTACCTGACAGTAAATGTCAGTAATACAAAAAAAATGTACATCTAAGCCATAATCTATACACTGTTTTACATGTTTCATCCCAAAATGTCAAAGACCGGCAGACTCGGCGATCCTCACGGCATCAGCTATTTTTAGTGCCATAACAGCTTTATAAGTGGCTAAGTCAGCATTTTCCATAAGTTGTTGCGCTTTGTGACGCTTGGCAACCGCCACACCCTCTTGTCTGTTGGCAGCAGACTTTGCTTCTTTTGCCTTGACAATGGCACTCTGTTGCTGCTCTGCATTTCGTTGCGCACCCAAGGCTGTGTGAAACAGTGGCAGTGTCATTTTAGTTTTTACAAAGAAAGTTGTATGCTTCATACAAATGGTCTCATCTGAACTGTATGTCCTAAATCATGAAAAAGGTGCAATCTTTGAAAGAACTTTATAGTTCCAATAAGAAGGGAGAAAAGTTTAAGATTTTATAAGAAAGGGTAGATAAGTCTTTACGCCAACACTTAATTGGTGCAAAAAAAAAAGAGATGATTTGGGACAAAGGGACTTCAAAGAAACATATAATGTACTAACAAATAAGAGATGCTGGTGCAATCACACAAACTATATGAATTAATTCATGCAAATATGTCAAGAATATGGCCTGTAAACTGTAGTACACACCTTGAAAGAAAGTATGCTGCTTGCCTCTTCCAGCATGACTTCCTTGTCGTTTGAATGACCGTTTTTTCCTCACAACAGGTCTTGTTGGCAATACACTTTTCCTTGGCTGATACATCTGTACAGAATACTACAGTTAATAAACCTGATAATTCAACCGGTATCTGATCTTTGGTAATGCAATCCCTTTCTGAACAAGAAGAAAAACAATCAATACCTGGAATATCTTTATTAGTGGAGACCGTTTCTTTTTACGTTTTTTAATCCAGTAACTGTAAACAGCCTCAGCAACATCTTTCCCTTCTGATTCAAGGCAAGCACTGAGAGCAGTTTTTTCATCGGAACAATCATCTTGATTATGGAACCCCCATTTTTCAAGAGAATCAATCATCAATTCAAACTTTTCAACCGAGATACACTGATCATGCTTGTCACTGTTGAAGTCATTCAACCACTCCTCATCGTCACTATCCATGTCATAGTTTGCGGACCTCCTATCCATTGCCCGAGCTAACTCGTCTCTTTTTTCAGTGATGTAAGACACTGGTCGGCTAAATAGCTTGGTGGGCCAACACTCTCCATATCCCGACACCTCACATATTTCCGGAATAGGAATGGTGCTCACGGCTGAGGGGTGTGCATTGCGATCAGCACACTCCTTATAAAGTTCTTTGAAGATCCACCAATCTCTTCTATTTGGAAACTCTAACTTCCAACTATTATCAACAGTCCATATTATATCATGCGTGATGCGGTTTGAACTGCATGGCCTCATAACCTTCTCAGCAGTAAGGCTGTATCGCCGTGTTCCATCTCTCTTAACAGTAAGAGTCCACTGTCTTGAAACAGATGATAACTCCAATGCAATAATTGCCCCTTCTTCCCTATAACATCTGTCTGACTCTATGACCAATAGATTTGCTGAACAGCTTGTAGAGTCTAGGTCCTTTGTAGACTCGAGCACTGCAGATTTCAGTCCTTTGATGTTCTTTGCAGAAGACAACCGGAAACCATTGTTATGTCTGAACCTCAAACCATCAGAAACCAAAGCCCCGTTTGGTTTTGCTAATTTATTGGGAGAAGACCGTTTACCTCTTCTTGATCTCAAAGCTCTCCTCCGCTTCTGGATAGTGCGCCCACTCCTTAACAATGAACTGCGTGTAGGTAACTTTGGAAGCCTAACAATTGGCTGTGCCACTATCTGCTTCCTGGAATCATCTTTATATTTTACAGATGCAATAACTGGATTACACAAATTATTATCATCTTCAGAGTTATCAGACATTTTGCATTCCTCGTATATAGTAACAGAGTTCACAGATAGAGAACCAGACGGAAACCAGTATTTTAGAGACAACGTTGAGTGGAGATACATAAAGCAAAATGGAATTGCAGAAAAATTGACAGTGAACAAAGGTACAGAACATCTAACAGCAGAAATTGTACAAACACCAGCCTTCATTTCAGGAGTGTATTCCTACAAGGGGCAGAAACATGGTTGATAGATTAGATAAAGACTAGAATGATAGAACAACTCAGAAGCATCACTGAAATGATGGGCAACCATATACCTTCAGAAAATGGATCCCATGCAAAGAAAAGACATCACATATTGGTCTTGAGCTGATGAATGCAAAAAACTGTGCCAGTGTGACTGAGGCCCTCGACATACCACCCAAAAGTGAATGTAACAAGCAGCACATCAAATGACCAGAATAATGGGAGGAATAAATGAAAACAGAATCTGCAGGTGAATCTTCTTGAGAATATTTAGCTTTCTTCTTCCACCGCTGTCTAACAAAATACTTGCCAAACCTCCTCTCCTCCAAAGCCTCACTTGAACCATCAAAAGCTTCAAGAAGATTCTTTTCTTGAGCCCTACTCCGTTTCCGTCTATAAACAATTCCCCATCTCCTATTTACATTTGAATTTGAGTTAACAGTGTCCCTTGTATGACTGTCAGACTCAAGTTCTACTGCCCTACTATCTAATTTTAAATCTACATCCATTTCTGAAGCTTCTTGCTTCTTGAAAGCATCACTTCCATGCCACCCATTGTTCGTGCACAGGGGACTGAGGGGAGGAGCATGCCCTCCGCCACCAACTTCTGAATCATCAAGAAAATCAATTAGCCTGACCTCATTATGAGCAGCAGCCTTCTTCAATTGTTTTCCCTCACTCAGGGTCCACACCTTCCTACCTGATCTTAGCACCCTTGCCCCAAACACCCTTGTTGTCCGTCTCATCCCAGCAGAAGGCATCGCCCTCTGGCGTTCTAAAGGCAGTACCCCTGCAGCTGAACCAATCTTTTCTTCCTTTTTTGCACAAAACTATTCTGCGGTTTCTTGTTTTACACAAAAGTCAGCTGTCACAGCCTTAATATTGGCCAAAGATCAAATTTTTATTCATCAAACACACCACAAAAATCACTCCCATCAGGTGACTGACACTCATTCTCTGAACAAACCATGCATGTCAAAGGTGATTGAAGACATATATCTTAAAATCCAAAATCTGTTCCTTCCGTGATTAGAATTTCACTGCGCATAAATCCCTTTTAAGCGGAAAAAAACACCCTTACTGATCAGACTCTCAGTCTACCATAAGTGGATGAGAATGCCCTGCACGGCGACGAAAATTAAATGAGTCAAAGACTATTACTTTTTTAACAAGATTAAATCCCAGTTCATAAACACGCTCTTACACATGAATATATATATATATATATATATATATATATATATATATATATATATATAATTATTATTCTTTTAAAGAAAAAAACTACATCTTGATTCACAGAAAGTGAAAGAAAGTTCGCCGTTACCATGTTTTAGGGCGACGGATCGGTTCTGAAAAGGAGAGGGTCGGAGACAGATCGGGAAAGGGACATAGAAAGAGTCGATAACGGCCGGAGAAGATGGCCGGCGGTGGAGGAAAAAAGAGGCGAGTTCAGAGTCGGCGCAGGGGAAGGTTTGGGAGGCGGTTGAGATAGAGAAACGGATGGACAGATTATTAGGGTTGAAATTGAACAGATTCACTCTCTTTCATTTACTGTATCAGATTTTGACCCCGGACATGACTTTCTAAATATTCCAAATTCGCCTCGCAATTTTGTATTTAGTATGAAATCAGTCCCCCGCGAGTCTTCTCTACAGTATGTCGGGACGACATCTAATTTTGTTGAGCAATGCCAGGGGTCCATTTGTCTCCACCACTCATTTTTATCTACTTATTATTTATTTAATTTTTTTAAAATTTTTACCCATTTTTTTGGTAATGAAGGGGATGGGGGACAAATAGAATACACCTTTAGTGTACCCCTAGCATTTTTTAATTTTGTTTGCAAGGACTCTCCCACCCCCTAAATAATTCTTACATCAAACTATTTTCAAATATATTTTCATTTTATCAACCATTCTCATAAAATTTGAGAAGTCATATCTTAATTTTTTAAGTGACATATGGGGAATTTAATTAGACCTGATAATCGGATCAATCAGTTGGATTACTATATCATTGATATATGTTATAATCAGTTCATGTCTCAATCTATATCGGTTTATTTCATTTTCATTTTCGATTCTGATTCGATTAGATACTGATTTCGGATAGATATCGATTCAGGTACAAATTGTTCACACATATATATATATTAGTACGTGTAAATTTAAATAAATAATGGTGGCAGTTCATGTCAAGTAAGTGCCTATTTTCCAAATCACATGAGATATTCGTGCTATTTGCCCTAAAATATGTGTTACTTATTTTTTATTCATATAAAAAAAGTTTGTTTGGATCATCTTTACAAAAAAATTTATATTGAAAATGGTCCTTAAATACAATTAAAATTGCTAGTTTGTTATGGTGTCATATATTTCATACTCAATATTTTAGTATTGTGTTTCTAATCATCACAAATACAATTATCACGCCTAAATTATACTCTTCATCAAATTACATCCTCAATTCCTAATTTTTTTTATCATATTACATATTCAAACATTTGGAAATTGGAGCTGAATATGATAGAATTTAGGATGGGGTATGGATCATTGGATTGAGTAATAAGACACTTGGGCTGAACCACATTAAAAGATTGAATCCAATCTATTAGTTAGTTCAACTCAAGAGCTTATATATCGATTTATTTTCACTACAAGTTCCGATGTGGGATAGACTCCAACACTCCCCCTCAAGTGTCATTTTGAATCTAACCGGTTGACCACTTGCAAATGAACTCCCATTCCCTTGACTTTTTTTTTATGAGCGCCAACACCTAAAGGACCACGAGCCGCTGGGTATGGACTTCCAGACGAGCAATCGTGTTAAACAGGCCATAGGCCGTTGGGTACAACCTCCATACGGACAACTGGGCTAAAGACAAACGGGCCGCTAGGAATGAACGTCTAGACGGACACCTTGACAAACGAGGTGGGATAAAACTGGCTCCGATACCATGATAGAATTTAGGATGGGGTATGGATCATTGGATTGAGTAATAAGACACTTGGGCTGAACCACATTAAAAGATTGAATCCAATCTATTAGTTAGTTCAACTCAAGAGCTTATATATCGATTTATTTTCACTACAAGTTCCGATGTGGGATAGACTCCAACAAGAACAAAGTTTAGAACAAAAAATCATGTCGCAAGTAATTAAAAATACAAGACTAAAATAATGAATATGAAATATATATACTTTCTCAACTCATAAGAAGTGCTAATAATTATGTTTATAATGAGCATTTTCAAAATAAATTTTTTTGTAAAGATGACTTAAACAAAAAAAAATATAGGAACCAAAAATAAAAATCATCTATTTTACAGTGACTAAAAATATATTTCACTTTATATAAAAAAAAAATATAACCCCCTTTATTTAAGTGATAAAATACGAAGTTTGCCCCTAGGACACAGCTCAACTGCAAAGGCAGTTCGTGATCATTGCTCAAGAGCTATGGGGTGGGGGTTTGACCTATTGGATTCTTTGAAATCATATTATAGTAATACACTTAACAAAATTATAGTATTACTCCCTCCGTCCTATAATGATCTTCCAGAGTACTATTCCAACTTCACGGAAATTTATATTTATTTGTGTTTTTTCATGGCCTATATGATAAAATAAAATATTCTTGTCACCACTTGTTTTGTTGAACTTTTGATGTAGTTTTAAATATGTATGTTTTATTTTTTATTTTTATACCAATATTTAAATAAAATAGATTGAAAAAACTTAGGATTTTTCTTCATTTTGCGAACCGGGAAGATCATTATAGGACGGAGAGAGTATAATTAAATATCGTACCAAACCAGACCCAATTACCAGTAACCAAATTGGAATGCAAGCCTCGGGCCCACCACAGCAAGACCGCTAGGCCGAATATTGCACATATTTTATTACCGCCTCATTGGAAAATAGTACGACTAAGAAAAACATGTGGTCTACTTGTCTGCCATTTTTAATATTTTTAATTCTCTTAGAAATACTCATTGGAATTTGATAGCAAGCTTATCACACAAAACATGACATAACAAAAAAAAGGTTATTTTACTGTCATTTTGAAGTGTATTTTAGTATGATATCCAAATTTGATGTATTGTCTATACTAAATAGAAAATCATTTTCTTTCCATGTACCAAAAAAGAGAAGTCTTAGGTTTTCTTTGAGATTTAAAACCAAAAACTACTCTAACAAATGTTCATCTAGCACATATCAAAGGCCAATTGCACCTTACAACCAAATATATCTACTTTCATATACATACATTAAGGATTATATAACTCGTAAATACAATACACAAATTTTGTAATGTATGGAGTATACGTTATATACTTATATTATATGCATATGCAAAAATAAATATGCATTTCTTTATAGATTTGTTTTCGAAAATTCATATTTATCCTTTAACTCGGATTCTAAGTGTTGTTACCAATTAAATAAACATTGTGCAATGACAGAATGTGCATACTCAATTTCCTGATTTGCATGTTATAAGTAGGTTGAAAAAGTAATTGTACGAAATAAAGATTATGCAACTTGTAAATGTGCATATTTCAATTTCAAGCCCTCAAAGAAACCAGCAAGAATTACAGCACATATGATTGATAGATTCCTCCACAGCCACTACGAGCTTTTGTTTGGATGAAGGAGTCAATTTCAAAATTAAGAATAAAGAGAATAATTCTTATTCCAATCTTAATTTCTTTTGCACTAATTTAAAATGAGATGTAAAGGGGAATAAGTGGTACTTTTCCTCACACTTATCCTCATTAAAAATGACATAAAGGACATGTGAACTCGGTAAAAGGGAGTGCATATTGTGAATTGCCCCTTTATTAACGTTTGGATTGATGAATTCCAACCAGAAACATGAAGGGTATGTCTGGTTGGTTGGAGGGGACAGAGCCTCCAAAAGTTTTTTACCAGGCAAGGAAGGAAACCANGCATCACAACATTGAATCACACATTATATTCATCTCATAGTGTGTAATCATGTCTCAGAAAGGGCCAAGGGTTCCCTCACTTCGGCTCCTGCGAATAGAAGGTTCCTCTCCATAAAGCTTGTTGTTCTTGGGGTCAGTGACGTGAGGCTGACGTGTACTTCTTCGGGACACGCTTGGGCCCACCAAGTGCCCGTGTCTTCCTTTTGATGCCTTACGACCATGGATTGCCGAGGACGACACTTTATTATGTGAAGAAGAAGAAGAGGCACCCGCAGTTCCCTTCCGCACAACCTTGAGGTCTGCTTTAACACCACGGTCGGGCACGTGGGATCCGATCCCTAACCGACAAGACCGGTCCGAAGCGTCCTTAGATGTCCCAATTTTGATGGATTGTCCGTTATAGTATGTGAGGTGTGGGACAAGACTCAGCAGGTGTTTCTTCAGTTGTTCGTGACCAACGTTCTTCTGGCCAGGGTTGCCTTCCAGGTAGATGGATTGAAGAGAGTTGTAATTAGCTGCAAGTTGGCCCAGTGATTTGGCTGTCGATATTTTGTTAAACCTCAAATCCAAAACGTTCAGTTTTAGCAGGCGGTGGAGACCCTCAACCTCACTAATTTTGTTCCCCGCCAGGTACAACTCTTTTAGGGAGGAACAGTAAGCAAGGCCTGCAAGTTAAAGAATCATAAGGTTGTGTAATTCGTTCATTACTCTAATGTCTAATACAAGAATCATCACTTCTGTTCCCCACTTGCCAATGTTTGTTTCCACTACCTATCATTTTTCAGAGTTGCTAGTTGTAATATGCTAATTCATTCACATCTTTATCACTGTCTACAAATTTAGTGAATCAGAGAATCAATGCACTAGTAGCATAATGGTCACGCATTTTGATTATTGATTATCATAAGCACTTCCAAAATACTCTGCATAATATAAATAAATGTTACAAAGCATTTTCCACCTGAGAAAGTTAAGCAGCTTTAGCCAGTCAATCAGTCATTTCATTGGGCTAAATAATCCATACCAAAACCCCCTGAGATTCACCAACCAACCCAGTTGTAATATAATGCAAGCTTTTATTGATAAAAGTCTCTTGGGGCTTGTTTGGGACTCTAGAGGGAAGGGGACGATTGATTATTATTCTACTAATTTATAGCTATTTGAGTTAAACTAGGGAAAAACTGAGATCCTCTTTGGTAATTGTTTAAATAGTGAAATCAGCTGAGAAAAAAGGGACCGGGCTGATGTTTTTGGCTGAAAATTTAAATTAGCCAAAATCAGCTGGACAAGGGGGATTTGGTGCTACTTAGCACAGTTTTCAGCCTAATAAGCCAAACTGACTATCTGAGCATACCAAATACACACTATATGTTTGTTTAAATCAAGTATTTCTGGTTTTTTAATATCTCCGGTTTCTTTCCGACCATATAAGTGTAAGAATAAATCACTAGTAAAATAAATTTCACCCTTACCACGTTGAAATCCCCCAACCACACAAGGGCACATAACGAGAAGGACATGATTTTCTTTTCTTTTAATGTGCATTGGATATACGCACTTATGGCCTATCCATCAACGTACTAATCAATGTCAGCATTTGATTGGTTTTGACACTATTGTAGTGATACAACCAAAATATTGTGTAATGCAGCCATACCATGTCCAATTCTCAGTATTCGGTTGTAGCTCAGGTCAAGTACACGAAGACGAGTGAGCTCTCGTAATCCTTCAACAGTGGAAATATTATTTCTTGAAAGATTCAAAACATGAAGCCCCCGAGGGACGGAACCAGATGTTATCCTTACTGCAGAAAGCAAGAAGACAAACAGCCATGATCAACAGCAGTGGCACTCTAAGCAAAAATGCTCTTTGAATAAAACGTAGTGTGGAAAACGAGAAGTGCAAACCTATGGCATTCCCGGATAAATTAAGTGATTTGAGGCTCATAAAGGTGCCTAGAAATGGGATAACAACCAATCCATGGTTCACAAGCTGCAAAGATGTGGCCGTAGCACTCAGAGAAGAGATATATTTCTGAACTGTTTCCATACCAGGATTGACTTTACAATCCAGCTTCCCCAAGAGGGAGCCAGTGAAGATCTTATCCTTACGTATATTCTCATGATCATTATCAAGAGTTGAATCATTTGTTTCTTCTTCGGGAGGGTCATACTTCTGGATATTTGTAACCCAGTCCTCGATTCGTTTTAGCCTAAAATCCTTGCTTGGTAACTCATTTAACTGGAAAAACAAGGATTCTCGATTACAATTCTCTGAAGCAGGCACAACCCAATCTTTTGCAGACCCCACATAGTTATAAGTGTCATAAATTTCACCATTGGGGTCTCCCCCCATTACTTCTATGCTGTTTTTACTAGAGATCTCTCTTTCTTCATTGTGCGTGACATGTTCAGCCTTTCCATCCACCATAACCTCTTTTCTTGTCTCTAGAACAATCAAATCATCTGCAGATCTGGGAGAAGGAACAATAGGTGTAAACTTCTCGTCATTGGAATGCATGTTAGGCAAAGAAATTGACTTCACAACAGTAAATGAAGTGCCAGGTGTGTTTCCAATATGCTCCTCAGCTCCAGATTGGTGAAAACCAATGTTCTCACATTCTTCTTCTTCTCTCACTGGCTGTTTCCGGTCTTTGATCACAGATAAAGATTCAGTGTTTTCCGAATCAGTACTCACTTGAACAGATGAGGGCTGAAGAACCTCTTGAAAGTTTTCAAATGAGAATGTTTGGTGACTATATTCCTCTGAGTCATGGTCATCATACACCCTCCCTTCCCAGGCCAATCCACTGTTTAAAGACCTGCACTTTTTCATATCAGCATTCTTATTATGATCAACACCCGCAATGTGTTCACTTTTGTAGTCATCCTCAATTTCTTCTGATTTACATCCTTGCTCCTTAGATGGAGAATCTATATCATGGCCTGCATAAATATCCATGGCATTGCTCACGCTTATTGAGTGTGGTGGACTGGTTGCTTCACAATAACTAAAATCTTTCAGGGAATGATTCTGAGAATGATCTTCCATGCTCTTATTCATAACTACAGCGGGTATATGGACTGTTTTCTGAACAAGGAGCCAAAAAAATAAAAAATAAGAATAATTAGCAAAACATCTAACTGTTACTGGTGACTGCCAAAGAAAAACACTGCTAACCTTTTGTTTATGGGAATGGATGTGGGCATGGAAGCAGGAAAATCTAACCATTCTGTCAGGGGAAAACCCCCAAAATCACATCAGATCTTCTTTCTTTTTACGGAGTAGTATTAAGGTTGCTTATCATCTAACATACAGCTAAACCACTAACCAACAGCTATATTATATTCAAAGCTAAGGAGCACACTAGGAGGATCTTTCTATAAACTCAGTTCCGGTTGATCTTAGCCGTAATCGTGTGACAATCCTTCAGGCACACGGCGCAATCTCCAAACGTGTGATGATTTTGATCTCCTCAGAACACATAACAGTATCACCCCTTCGTTCTCACCCCACACCTGCCTCGAGGTGTGAGAAAATTCGGAAGTTGTTATAGTGGCCAGACTGGACGAAGATCTTTGTTAGCTCTGATGGTACAACCCTTACTAAGCATTAAAAACTCACACCTGATACAACATGGAAAGGAATGGACCTGTCAGATATATGACAGAAAACAAAAGAAGGGAGACACTTCAAAAATGCCCAAATTCAGCCGTTCAACAAGACTTTTGCATTAATAGGTTAAAGAAAAAAAACAAAAGTTGGTTGAATACATGAATAAAGCATTCAGAAGGCCATGCCTAACAAAACAGGGATCAATTTCAACCGTTTCACATTTCTATCAAAACGGACCGACCTGATGCTATCATATGGATCATATTCATTACATATTTAGCAGCACAGCAGTACATCAAACTGGAAAACTAAATTGTGATGAGCGAAACAGATCAAATACACATTCAGCTGTGAATCCATGCCTAATGCATGTATAAATTCCTAATCTCCGTTCCGCGAAATACAGATTCGTGTAAATACAGTCAGGAATCAGAATGCTTCATCAACAATACGCTAAATCAACGATTGAATATAATAATACAATATGAATCCGTGCCGGAAAACCACACAATAAACAGAACATCTCTTACCTCTTCGCAGCCAGATTTACGTTCGCTTCTAATCCTCGATCGAGCAAGCTTGCGTGAAAGCGGAAAATTATGAGAATCGGTTCTGTTTTGGCGTTTTCGAACGGGTAGCCCTAAGAGAAAGAGGGCCGCAGGCAGATAGTTGGTGGGGGAATTAATGGAGGAGAAAGCTGATTCCAATTGAGCGGCGCCCAATTTTCTGTTTTGGTTTCTGAGATGGAGATCGATTATTAGCCCCTCATTTGTTATGCTTACTTTAATTGAACATCGAATTAAGAACGTTTTTGTTTTCGAAAGAGGAAAGAAAGTCAAATGTGGAGTATTTTCTACAGTATCTTTTTTTGTCTTCCCTTTACTATTTCCAGCTCCAAAAAAGTACTTCCTCCGTCCCAGAAAACCTTTCTCCTTTCTTTTTTCATCCGTCCCAAAAAACACTTCTCATTTCTATTAAAAAGTCACTTTTACCCATTACTTTTTCACACCCTACCTATCACATTATACCTTTTTACTAATAATCTATCCATCAAATCATACTTTTACCCATCACATCAAAGGACATTTTTGGAAATTCAATACCAAAATACATTCTCCTTAAATCCCTCACCAAAACCAAAACTCCCATGTTTTCCGGGACGGAGGGAGTAGAAAATTACTCCGCGAGTTTTGTTGAAATAACTCTCAAGTCCTTCTATTTTCAAAAAGACAGCAGAGGTTCTTACATTTTGTTGTAATGACTGGAAGGGGACATTTCATCCAATATTTCATCTATAAACGTTAATAAATGTATTTTTTTTCCTATTCTTTTCTAAATGTTTTAAGGTATTAAATCTTAGGTCGCTCCTTTTTTTATTTCTTTGTTTTTCTTTCATTTTGTTACTATTTTTTTAAAGTGTTATTTTAGAATTTCTTCTATAAAATCGTATAAAAATTCAAAATTGTTTGTATTATATTAAAACAAATGAAATAAAAAAAATTTAAAAAAAGAAAAAACAAGGTAATGGCAAAATAGGAAAAAAATGTATTGGAAAAATAGGAAAAAAATTCATTTATTAACACTTACGGATGATGTATTAGATGAAATGTCCCCTCTCAGTCATTACAACAAAATATAAGGACCTTGGTTGTCTTTTTGAAAATAGAAGGACCTGAAAGTTATTTTCACAAAACTCGCGTCACCAGCGAGTAATTTTCTGCCAAAAAAGTGTATTTGTCCTAATTTAACTTTTACGCTAATTTTGATCATAAATAAAATACTCCCTCCGTCCTGAAATGTTCTTCCCACTTACTATTCACACGGTCAAACTTTAATCACTTTCTTTACCTATTTTCATTAGGTATTTGATAAAATAATATAGTCTTGTCACCACTTGTTTTGTAGAACTTTTGGTGTAGTTTTAAATATATAAGTTTTATTTTTTAATTTTACACCTACAATCAAATAAATTGAATTAAAAATAAAGTCGATCAAACTTCGTAAACAGAACTGAGAAAAACATTATAGAACGGAGGGAGTATTTTTTATACTTATAAAACTAAGGACGACAATGATCTTTTGACTTTGATACTCGATGATAAAATTAATTGTTAGTATCCCTAAACCTTCAAAACTTGTTGTGGCCTTCCTCTTGACCCCTTCCTTGAATTGACGATTTGGGCGGCCAAAATCAGCGATTTAAGTTGTAAGAGCCACTAGTTTATTATTGAGTAAAGTGCATGGATTACCCCGAACTTTTTCGAAAGTGCATGATTTACCCCTAAAGAGTAAGAAGTGCACCAATCACCCCTCAAACATGCAAACCATTGCACACTTTCCCCATTTTCTCTTTTCGTAAAAATGAATTGTAAAAAGCAATTGTAAATACTAAAATGCCCCTTCCATCGTATATACTCCGTACGTACAAGCTATCCGTTCCAACTACAATAATAGCTACACGACTTCTTGAGTGAAAGCCGGTTGCATTGTCGCACGAGGTAATTTGTTTTGCTATTTTTTTCGAGAATTTCGAGAATTCCAAAGGACCGATGTTATATGTTAGTTGATTCAAAAGGGTAATTTCGAGAATTCTAACCCAATGTGAATTAGAGAGAAGATCAAAGGGTAATTTCAATTTGTAAATTAATTTTTGGAAATTACCACTCCTAAGGATTTGTAAAATTGATCGAAAATTACCCTCCCAACGATTAACAAATCTGCCGATTTACAATTCTCCATTGCACTCTTTGGAAAATTAATCAAGAAGAAAATACATCAAAATTACCCTTTGGAAAATAGATTGAAAAGGGCGACTTTTGGCTAAATCAAGAAGATAAATCTGGGAGGGTAATTTTGAGAATTCCAAAGGGCCGATGTGAATCAAAGTCGCAATTTTGGTGTGTGGGAGAAACGCACGCCGGATCTAGGATTGGAGGACCATTGGTGCAATGGTTTACATATTTGAGGGGTGATTGGTGCACTTCTTATTCTTTAGGGGTAAATCGTGCACTTTCGAAGAAGTTCAGGGGTAATCCATGCACTTTTCTCGTTTATTATTATATCACCAAAATGATTTATTGCAAGTTAAATATTATTTAAATATACAAAATCATAAAAATCTGATACATCAAAATTATATCTTAAATTAACTAAGTTGCTCGGGTTATTATTTATATTATACTCTGTAATTAGACATTCTTTTTTTAATAAGTTAAGGTCAATATTAACAAAAATATGATAAATAAATTAGGACGCATGGAGTAATTGTTAAACGTTTTTATGCTCCATCCGCACACAATCGAGGATTCTTACCCTTCCAATCCGCATAAAATTTCGAATTATTACAAGATTGTTACTCGAATGCCGTTGTGGACGAGGCTTTTTCTCGACAGACAAATGAAATTACAACTCGATCATCAATTAATAATACCAATAAAAAACAAAAGAAGATCTAAAATATGTGATGGGGGGAAATGATATGCGCTGGACATGATTAGTCATAGAATCAGCAAGATTTGTTACAATGTGAGGTACAAGATTCCCTAATTTTCAAACAATTGACTGCATCCACGCCCATGAAGTCTTTAAAACAATCTTTAGGTTGAGTTTGGGAAAACGATAAACTTCCCAAGAGTATTTTGATTGAGTTTGAAATTTTCCACCCAATTTTAGTACTTTGGAAATCATAAAAAGAATTGGAGACCGAAAAATGCTATATTGTTATGGAGTGAATGAGATGGATTGTTGTATAACGTTGAAATCAAATGAAATTAAATTTAGATAGCCCCTGCAAGAAAGTCTACAGCGAACAATCTCGCTCTCCCCTACTCTAACCGACGCACAACCTTATTAGCAAAGCGATAAGCAAAACTTATACATATGTTTTTCATCCGTCTAAAAATGAATTACACTATTCACTATTCAAAATTTACAGATATTTTTGTTTATTTGTATGTTTTGATTGATTATTTGATAAAATAAAATTATTTTGTCACTGCTTCTTTAATAGAACTTCTGAGGTGATTTTAAATATGCAAGTTTTTTTAATTTTTATATCAATCTTTAAACAAAATGAACTAAAAAATTGAAAATTCACTTTGTTTTGCGATGTAAAATATCTTTGGGACGAAGAGAAGTTCCGTAAAAATGGGAGTAAAAATAAATTGAAGAGCGAGATCGAACGTGTTATGCGTGCCCTTGTCTCATTTTCATAAATCTCGATTCCAAAATCACCAATAGTCCAATGTTATGGAACTTAGAAGAAAATCCAACCTAAAAAATGTGTTACTTAAAACTTAATACAGTTGAAGGGCCAAATTCCCGACGAGTCAGGAATAGTAGTGGAGCGCAATCTCATCGATTGTGGTTAATTTGACAACTAATTTTTCACCACAATTGACGCACATTAGGCCAATCATACCCATAACATATGACATGAATCACATACTATTTACGTTTAACAGTAATAGATTATAAATAGAAGATGAATCTCCATCCCAACCAAGCCAAATGAAACTAATACAAGTATTAGTAAGAGTATGACGTTAAATTCTTCCAAGTTGATGGGGCGGATTAGGGTCAATGCAATTAAAGGAAACGACTTTTTATATATTTCATTGTGCTCATCAAAGCGTTCCAATTCGATCAAGAATTCAGGATGATCGGAAATCAATCGATCAAACAAACCATGAATTTGAAGAAGAAAAAGAAGAAGAAGAAGAAGAAGAAGAGGAAAAGGCAAAGAGTTCATGTTCGAGAGCCTGATGAAGGAGAGCTTCGGATTCGCGCATGAGGTCGGGACTGAGCCGGAACATGAGAACGCAGAACTCCATCTGATCGAGAGCCCCGTCGCCGTCCAAATCCCCTTCCCGGAGCATGCTCCGGAGGTCGTCGTCCCCCAGATCTTGGAGCCCCAACGCCGCCGAGTTCCTCTTCAGGCTCTCCAATGTGATCACACCTCTCTCTCCGTCCATCAGCAGACTGAACCCGTTGCACAGCTCTCTCATCAGCCCTTCCCCGCCCAGCCTCTCCGCCATCTCCGGCAGCATGTCCTCGAACTCTTCCTTTCCTCTCCCGCTGCCGCCGCCGCACGCCATTCGTTTCCTCCGGGATCCAATTAAAAAAAAATACCCCTCTCCGTCAATTTTCTCGGTAGATTGTGATTTGAATGAATTGGATGATGGGGAAGTGGAGAATATAAATAGGCAGAGGGGAGATGGGAGAGGGATGGGAAGGATCTTTCCCGGAAATTGAAGTGCGAAGATGGCAGAGACAACTCAGAGAGAGGCAAGCGACTCCGGTTCTACTCGGTGTAAACAACCTTCCGAAGACAAAATTAAAAAAAAATTGGTCCGAAATTTCCTACTCGTTTTGATATGCTCCCTCCACCAATATGTAGGTTCACACCTACTTTTAGGGGGTGGGTGTAAATTGGCGGTTCGGTTCGGTTCGGTTTGATTTTGTATAAAAAATAGGAAAACTGTTTGTTATTCGGTTCGGTTTTTACGGTTTTTATTTTGGTTTTTTTTGGTTTTTTCGGTTTATAAGAGTAGAAATTTATAAGCATTAAAAAATTATAAAACACTAACTCGATGAAACAATAAAAATATGTAGTGTTAGCTTTGGTTTTTTTGTTTGATTTTTACACAAAAACAAAAAACCAAACAGAAGGTTATTGCTCCTTTTAGTTTAATTTTACATAAAAAAGATGTGTGGAGTGCCAACAAACATTTAAAAGATTCTAAATACTTCCAAAGACATCGTATGTAAAATCAATTATGAAAAATTTATATTTTTTGTATAATACTTTCAATTTCATTATAACATCAAAGTATTTTTTATGTAAATATGTAAATTACGCGTATCAATTTTTAATCTTAATATAATTCTATATTAGGATTACTATTGGTGTTCATATATATTCTTAAGTTTTTTAAAGTTTATAATAATATGGCTAGAATATTTAATTAATAGATGAGAAAATAATTTAAATCGACTAGTAATTTATTTGCATTTATATTTTTATGATTTTTCTACATATCACATATATTCATATAAATAATCTTCATTTTTTCAAAATTAATCTTCATTTTTTCGAAACACTAATGTTAATTGAAAATATTGTCTTCAAGCAGCATACCTCATGTGTAACGCCCCAAAATATACCCTAAAATTTATTGAATTAAATATTCAATTAAACAAAATTTGTTTTGATTAAAATAAATTGTTGTTGGGCTGAAATAAAATATATATTGATATCCAATAAACATAATTGGGATAAATCTCATACAGATAAATCCAACATGTTGATTTATTGTGTGATCTTGATTGAGAAACTCAGTACAGACCCAAATTAAGAATAAATGAAGAAATTGTTTATAATGTGAACTTTGAAATGATTTATTGAAATAAATCATGGAAATAAATAATATGAATTAAATGTGAGAACCTTTTTGAATAAAGGTCAATTAAACCAATTTTGACTCTGTTAAAGTCAAACACCCAAAAATATGATGTCGGAAAAAATATTACAAATAAATATAAAAATTATATCGTTAGATAGAGTTTAACTGCCCGATTGCAATGGTTCAAACGGAATGCAATTCGGAGAAAGTTGGACCAAAAAGTGTACCCCGACTGGAACCAAAATTGGTCCCAATCAGGGACACTGTGCGAACGGCGCCTCCCAGCGCACTAAGCCGATTGTGAATCTTCCTACGCTCAGCAACCAGTGTCTTCTTCTTCCTCAAATCTACTATAAAAAGGGAGCTAAGTATTCTCAATTCTTCACCAAAACCTATACTTCCTTGTTCTATTCTGTTGCTCAAAGTAAGGAGAACGCAGTGGTGCTGTCAATTTGGTGAGAGGTCGCCGGAACAAGACGTGGTGTTCGCCGGAAGTTTCACCGGAAAATATTCAAAACCTTCATTTACCTTCGAGGTAAGCCCGTAGATATATCTAGTGACTAGAATGTTCATATAGATCGTTTCTACGTTCATAAACGGTCGTTTGGTTGAGTTTTGTGTTTGACATGTTTGAAGAACCAAGAATCATAAACCATAAAATTGTTGTTAAAATTACGAATTAATGACTCTAAAATGATTTGTGAACATTGGAGAACATTTTTATACGGTTAAATTAAAGTTTGGTGATTAAAAATGATAATGTTAAAACTGACCCGAGGAAGAAAATGATGAACAGTGGCCGAAAATCGATTATTTACTTACTAAAAATCGATTAGAATTTTATTTAGATCAGTGGTTCGAAGTCAGTACCATTTAATCGATTATTTATGTTGTAAAAATCGATTATTATGAATTAATTGATTATTTAAATTGTAAAAATCGATTATTATGAATTAATTGATTATTTAAGTTGTAAAAATCGATTATTATGAATTAATGGATTATTTAAATTGTAAAAATCGATTTTTTTATGAATTAATCGATTATTTATATTGTAAAAATCAATTAAAATTAATTAATTGATTATTTAAATTGTAAAAATCGATTATTATGAATTAATTGATTATTTAAATTGTAAAAATCGATTATTATGAATTAATGGATTATTTAAATTGTAAAAATCGATTTTTTATGAATTAATCGATTATTTATATTGTAAAAATTGATTAAAATTAATTAATTGATTATTTAAATTGTAAAAATAGATTATAATGAATTAATTGATTATTTAGATTGTAAAAATCGATTATTATGAATTAATGGATTATTTAAAATTATATAAATCAATTTTTATAAATTAAATGATTATTTTAAATTATTCCTGAAAATATGCTCTAAATTCCTATTTTTGATAACAATTAATTATGAACAATACAAATATGATTTTGTATAATAAAAATGATGTTTTAGGCATATAAAACATTATGTGATGCATGACGGTAAGTTAGAGTGTTAACACTCAAAACTAGACCGCTATTTGTTATCAATTGTTATGTTGATTAATAATTATGATGAATGATTATTATGGATGATCATGAATAATGAACTAACTGATCAAAATGATTATTGATGATTCAGCCATGAGAGTAATGAATATAGTGATAATTATTAAACGATTTGTATTGTTAAACGGTATCTAGAAAAACTCTAAGATATACCTATTAGTTAATTGATGTTAAGACTATCTAGAAGACCTCTAGAATAGATCTTGTATTAGAACAGGCTTATGAAAACATGAACATTTGATGAATTAGATAAAAACGCATAAATGGGATTCATAGACCAAACTAGAGGATCACTCGTTTGGGAATGCCCGATCTAATGTTGATCAATCGCTATATTGTTGTTGCCTTAACTGACTACAGTTAAGTGTCCGAATCATTTGCCTTAAACTAGTGATAGTTTAAGTGTCTGATTGCCTTAACTGACTACAGTTAAGTGNGCTAAGAGCATTGTTATTATTTGGCCTTAGATTTAAGAATAATTTAAGGGCACTGTCAGAATAATATCTGAATTGAATAAAATGTGTTGATATGAACTGAACATTATCAAAACTGTGAATGTCTGAAATGAACATTGTGTGCATGATATCAAATGATTTGATTATGAATTTAGATTCAGTTTATATGGATGTTCGACGCATTAGATATGCTTACTCAGCTTTACCGCTGAGCGTGTAGTATGTTTTATTTGCTACACGCAGATAAGCAGAAAGCACAATGTGATCCTGGCGGCAGATGTGGCGAGATTGTCGGGATGGATGTGACAAGTTTTGAAACAATTTATGATATGTCAATATTAAAATCGCTTCCGCAATATTGTTGAATACTCCGTACTGGATATGTTATGAAAAATATTATTGAGATTAATAAAGTGTGTTTGAAAAGTTTTAAATTTTTACGATTACCAAGTTAAATACTTTAGTCCAAATGGGGCTGCAGACCTGGACGGATTAGGGTGTTACATCATGTCGAGTGGAGTATATCCTAAAATCTTTTTTAGATTTGACAATTTTTTATTATCAAATATTACTAATTTTGACCATAATTTATAGAAAATATTGTCTACTTATGATGTAAAATTACAATATTTTGATTTGTTTTAAGATATAGCTTTAATTTATCAAAATTTATATCATTTTATGCACAAATTTTGTTACTAATAGTCAGAATGTCACATTAGTGAGCAAAAAAATTACGGGTGATATATTCTATTCTAACTTTAAAAGATTTTGATAGATTGTCTAGAATCTATGGATCATATATAATTCATAGATTATTTTAATTTGTATGCTGAATTTGATAGATTTTAACGTATTTTATCAGAACACTTTAAAAAAACTTGTTGGATTATTTAAAATAGGCTAGCAATAAAAAACAAGAAAACTCAATGATAGAATTTAGGATGAGTATGGACAATTAGATTAGGTAAATAAGACACTTGGGCTGAACTACATGAAAAGATTGAATTCAATCGATTAGTTAGTTCAACTCAAGAGTTTATATACCGATTATTTTTTGCCTTTTGAACTTCAAATCTGGGATGACACTCTAACACTCCCCCTCAAGTGGACAATCGTGTCATTTTGAATCTAACCAGTTGACCACTTGCAAATGAACTCTCTTTCTCTTGACTTTTTTTTAGCGCCAACACCTAAAGGACCACGAGCCGCTGGGTATGAACTTCCAGACAAGCAATCGTGTTAAACAGGCCACAAGCCGTTGGGTACAACCTCCATACGGACAACTGGGCTAAAGACTAACGGGCCGCTAGGAATGAACGTCTAGACGGACACCTTGACAAACGAGGTGGGCTAAAACAGGCTCTGATACCATGATAGAATTTAGGATGAGTATGGACAACTAGATTAGGTAAATAAGACACTTGGGTTGAACCACATAAAAAGATTGAATCCAATCGATTAGTTAGTTCAATTCAAGAGTTTATATACCGATTATTTTTTGCTTTTTGAACTTCCGATATGGGATGACACTCTAACACTCAGGAGAAGATGAAATGAACACGGCCGTGCTCGAGAGGTCGCAACAGTGGATCAGAACCGGCTTCATCGTGTGCTTTAATGTCAAGCTCGAATACCATATTGAATAAGTCTCGTTGATAAAATAAAGCCTCTGTCATCGCCAGGGGCCGGTATGGAAATGTGAAAAATTTAGATTGACCATGTGTAAAATTATCGTGTTGGGCCCTATTTTGTTTTTTTGCAGAGTACTTGCACTTTATAATTATTAGTACTTAATTAGATTTTTTAATAACCACTTTTATAACAATTTGAATATTAAAATACACATTTATATTAAATTTAAAAATGTCAAATAATTAGAATAAGATTTTTTTTGTAGTACTAAAACATAGTTAGTTTCTCAATATAGTACCATATATTTTAATTTCTCAATGTCGTACTATTGTTCAATATTCATTGGACATTGTTCAAATTAATGTCCCTCGCCAGTCCGCCACTGGACATTGTTTAAAGCAAATGTCCACCAACACTAGATGTTATTTTCGTCACTGAACATTGTTCAAGTACTACTTAAAAAAATAATTTT